TTACATTCTGAAATTCTCTCCTCCACCAGGAGGAGTTTCCCTAACATCGTATGCCGATTGTTGCGGTTACAACAACAACAACAACAACATTACAATGCCAAACATAAGTACTGAGGCTCCCGCCTTGTTAATCCAAAAGGTCGACAATTATATAACATAATTGCATGTAACCATATTGCTTCTTCAATGCAACCTACATATTGGCCAACGGACCCATACATGGGCCCGTTCTAAAAAAGAAAAGGCAAAATGTTTTGCAGAGCATTTTAGAAAAGTATTCCAACCCAATGCAGCAATGTATAATTTAACGATTCCACTTTTGTCTCACTATGCTACTAAGACTATTCCCGACGTGATATCGACGACTTCTAAGATAAAAGTTATAGCAAAAACGTTACAAACACCACAAATGCAAATTCTTCAATTTCTTGTCTCACTTTTTTAACGCCTTGGATATTTACCGAATGTGTGGAAAAAGTCGCAGATCATCATAATAGCCAAACCTGGAAAGGACGCAACGCTGCCCTCTTCACACCAGCCAATTAGTTTGTTGCCTGTTATTTTCAAACTTTTGAAAAGAGCTGATATCTGGGATATCTAGTTTGCTCCACGCACCGTATACAAAACTATACTAAACCATCAATTTAGTTTTCGTGGAAAACATGGTACATGAAAGGCATTTGAGTTGAAAGAGTATTGCTCAGCAATATTTTTGATGTAGCTCAAGCATTAAAATGACCTTGCCAAAAAATTTCCATCAAATAGCTTACTAACAGAAGTTTGCAGTTAACGAAAAGGAATTTATTTTAGAGCATTATCTAATCGTGGCTGATGTTCCTCAATGCAGCGTTTTGGGACCAATTCTGTATGTCCTATTCACTGCATACATTCCGACGTCCGAGTGCGAGTGGGTTCGTAACCGATTTGGTTGGACCACACCTCTGGTGCACCCTAAAATAATATTGTATTTCGTGTATATACATATGCACACAGTTTTGATCTGTTGTCGAATTATTGTTGCCCTGTAATTTTTGTTTACCGCGATGTAAAGTTTCACTTGGTTTTGTTTTTCTTTACAAGTAGTTTTGTTGTATTGCACAGCTAGCGACCCAAGCCGTCTTCACTAAGCTGGCCGGTCGTTTTGTTAGTTTTTGTCATCGCTTTTTTGTTGTTGTTGTAACCGCAAAATTATTCTCCAAAGTACTTTTTGGGGAGTGTTGCGGGAGTGACAGTCCTTGGCCAAATGAAAATCAGGCTCGTTTCGGTATAAAGACCCGACTGTCGCGGCAGGCATGCCTTACCGCGGGTAAATTCTTGAGCCCCTAACCCTTTTTGTGCGGTAGTTTGGTTTGGTTTTGGTACATACGCACATAAACATTGTAATAGAAAAAGTGGAGGTTACAAATTCGCGCTCAAAGTGAGGCCTGATTTGCGGTTTCTGTTTCTGTTAGAGCGACGTTTTGTGTTCTTGTTTTTGGTATACGTATTTACCAACAATTTGCTATTTTTGTTTCTATAAGTAGGGCGTTCCATTAATGGAAGTAGTAAGGAGATTAATTAGTTGTCACTCATTACGAAGGAATCCGGAGTCAGTTCCGTTTTGCAATTTTTATGATTTAGTTTGCTGCGGTAAATTGTGTTGGAACGGTTATACCGGTAGCAGAAACAATATTTTTCATAAAGGCATTTCATTCAAAAATACTGTGCAAGGCAGAGCCGGTGTTGGTCCGGCCCAAAGTTGCAATCCAAAATGCGGCCGTAGTCCGCCAATTTACAAAGAAGTTTCACTTAAGAATACTGTGCAAGGCGAAGCCGGTGTAGGTCCAGGTTTACAATCCAAAGCGCAGTCAAAGGGCGCCAAATTACAAAGGAATTTGGTTCGTCCCAGGGTTACAATCCAAAGTGCGGACGGAGGCCGTCAAATTACAAAGAAATTTCGCCTAAAAATACTGTGCAGGGCGAAGCCGGTGTTGGTCCGGCTCAGGGTTACAATCAAAAGCGCGGCCGAAGGCCGCCAACTTACAAAGGAGTTTCGCCTAAAAATACTATCCAAGCCAAAGCCGGCGTTATTTTTTAGAGGTGTGGCATCTTTTAAAATTAAAAAAATAAGGGCAAAGCAAAATAACGGTAAACGGTTCTTTTATCGTGTGAAAAATTAAGTGCCGTTATTTTCAATTGCGTATATTAAAAGTGTACATTTCTATTTTTTCAAAACAATTGTCTAAAATTAACTCAAATTTTATTAAAATGAGTGACACCGAGTGTGATAAGTCTAATTGCGTTTAGAATTATATGAATATATGATCTGAGCATAAATCTTTATAGCGCAGCGGCAGCAAAACGGGTGCGGTTTACTGCGGAGGATTTTCGCAACATGTGGAGCATCCATAAAAAGTGGGACAATTTAGGAACTGTTGAACAATGCATCGCATTTGCAGAGGAGCATGGGCTACTGCCAAGATACAAATTGTGTCCTTCTTATAGGACGCCCATGTCCTTAATGAGAAAAGGTAACGACGCTCTCAGCAGTTTTTGGTGCCGCAAAGGAAAATGTAGGCAGAAAAACAGTGTATCAGGGGCAAAAGGCCCCTGGATTGAGGAGGCTCGGATATCCTTCCCACACGTTTTTTATGTATTGTTTTGCTTTGCGCATAAAAAATCGCAATTCGACGTAATGCTCGACGATTACGTTGGCGGGCCCTAGTCGAGCCGGAACATCACGGATTGGTACAGTTACTGCAGGGAAACCGTGGTGCTGTACCAAATCGACCAGCAAACAACTGGGGGAGAACTTGGTGGTCCGGGCAAGATTGTTCAAATCGATGAGAGCAAATTTGGGAAACGGAAGCATAATAAAGGTAAAAAATTATATATTTTTTTAACATTGTATTTAATTTTTATTTTGGGAGAAGGGTCGAAGGCCATTGGCTTCTCGGAATGATAGAGGACGGCTCGGAGGATCTACGTTTGGAGGTGTGCCCGGACAACGTGCGATCGGCAGAGGTGCTCGTACCACTCATCCAAAAACAAGTAGCTGAAGGAACAATCATACATACCGATTACTGGAAAGCGTATGATTGTCTCTCCAGCTACTGGTCCGAGCACCATAAGGTTAACCACAGCGATACCGATAACCCGTTTGTGGCACAGGATGGCACACATACTCGACGTATTGAGTCACATTGGAGAGTTATCAAACGGTTTCTTCAAAAAGATAACTACAATAATCCGGCTAATTTCGCCGATATGATTGTTGAGTACATGTGGCGAAAATCTGTAAAAAAAAAAAAACACGGAAGACCCGTTCTTAAAAATTATATAAGACGTCAAATATACATATTGTTGCGAAAATGCGAGGCGAATGTCAGATGAAAGAGAGAAGCCGATAACTAGTACGTTCTAGAAACGATAAAACAAGAACCTTCCATAGCGAACAATTCGATGCTTCTACGCTTTCGTCTGCGAGCAGCCGACTGCCATATAAAGGCGACACTCAGCCGCAAGTCAAGTTANTATCTGTTCCGCCAGCTCCATTCCTCTACGGTCATTTGACAGGCTAGAATGCCAAAGATCGTGATGCGCCAAACGGTTTTCGCCCCTGAGTAGCGCACCTATGTCAGGGGTGTATCCAGCTGGGCAACTTGTAACTGGAGGAATGTATATATTAAATATTTCGAGCTCGACATCGCCTGACCGGATAGCTATGCCCTGACATTCTAGGGTAGTATCCCTCACGTTCCGACGCACTATGGTCTGACACACGGAACAGACGGTGCGGGGGACTAGGAGCTGCTGGGTAGCCCTCGCACGGGAGGAGGATGAGGAGCTGGTTGTGGGTGGGGATGGAGGTGGAGGTTGAAGGGAATCATGCTGCGGGGAGCTCCGTGAGACCGTGGAGGTCTGCAGATTACCCAAAGTGGGTATGTGTGCTGAAGGCACTGCCGTGGAGGCTGGGGGGGCGGTTGGACGCTGAAAGCATGGGGCCACATAACTCGTGGTCCGTTCCCTGTGGGTCTTAAGGCCTGAGCAGGTCTTAAGATGACTCCAACCATTCCACTGGGTGCATCTAACCGAGGTGGATGAGTGGTGGAGTCTTCTTTGACACACGCAGCAGAAGTAATCCGTCGGTCCAGGGTTGGTTTCTACACCAGCCCTGATCCGAAGGATTTGAGCAACCCAGCTGCGAGGTGTTGCTCCGTTGGCGAACTTAGACTAATGTTACCTGTAGACCTAAACGGGAATAGGTCGCCGAAAGGGTGACAGCCCTTGGCCGGATAAAATCCGGGTCAACTCCGGTGCGTAGAACCGGCTGTCGTGAGAGTAAGTAAAAACAATAAATCTTTTTACTGAGTGGCTACGCCTGCCTAACCAGAATACAAACAAACGGGCTCTAAACTTAAGTATTATTTTACTTAGTAGTCCGGCACCTCCAATGTAGACGTAATTAGCATTTATTACTCAAAGTTTTAAATAGAGCTTGATGACATTTCATACAGTAGTGAAGCCGATAATAAGACAATTAAGAACCAACTCAAGCTTGATGATCTCATGCATTACTCTTTGATTTATTTACCCGAGAAAATTAATAATCAATCGTATGTGCTTTATTTAATTTGCAGCATTGCATTGTTTCTGAGAGAAGAAATCATAAAGAAACATATGTATTCAGACAAGAAATCATATATTAGAATATGTTATATACATATATAGCAGGCGCTTTACAATCGCTAGAGCGATTTCCGACCCAAACAAAATTGCTCGTATATATTTATTCAATATTCGCGAGTTACTAATATACGTTGGCACTTTTTGAACCTATTATTTGCTAAGAAGTTAAGCAAACATGCATATTTTAGTTAAAAGAGCAAAATTACTTCATTTTATATCTTTCACATATGGTTTCACAAATAAAACAAGCACAGCTACAACACTTTGCTGAGTCGAGGCACCACATTTTCAATTATGTATTAAATCAGAAAAATAACGATATACATATTTACCACGGATATTTTTCACTTTGCCGTATGTAAAAATATGTTATAATTAAGTGCGACTTTTTCACTTATTAACACCACATATAAATGGAAACATAATGTGTGCAATATACAGATCGGTACTACTCGTTCCATTTATGTGTGTTTTCTACTTAATACGCCATTTCCACGACAGCCCAAATAAGTGTTTCGCTCTCTGAATCGTAGTTCGCACTCCAAATATATGTCGAATTACTTAATTCGCCATACAAATATTCGTGAGCGAAGTACAGCAACAGGCCTATTCTCACTGTTACTGGTGAAGTAAATTTTATTATGTTCTTTTAACAACCGGAATTGAAATTGGTATTCTGGCGAACTGGTTACAATGTTCGAAAAAACTTGGGCAAAGCTTTTTTCGTCCTTGTCAAATTACATTTGCCAAATGGTGAAGTAAAATAGAAGAATATTTACATCGAAATGGGGGACGGTGCACAAAAAAATAAACAAGTTTTATTTGGTTGCTTATTAAACATTTGAACCTTATTATGCAAAATATACCTAAAGGACTAAAAAAGCTAAGTCAAAACGATATCTTTCCTATTATAAGGGTAATTTTTTTCGCAAACTTCTTAACATGATTATCCAGGCCTAAATTACGCCTACACATTTTGGTTATTATATTTTCTCAAACTAACAACTCAAAATCTATAAGCAGGTTTTATGTTACCTTCTATTTCGCTGGTAACAAATATTACAAAGTGACAGTGCACTATATATACAAAATAGTAACAAAAATTACTGACAGGCCTATTCTCACTGTTACCAGTAAAGTCAATTTTGTTACTTTGAAGACGGTGCACATCAAAATAAATAAGTTAAGTGTATATTAATTCATAAATATATAAACCTTATATGCCTGGACAACAAAAAATGCTAAATGAAAACGTTATCTTAAAAATTAAAGAGCTATTTTTAGTCTCGAAAGCCACAAAAAAAAACTGTTTTTTCACTTTTTTCTTCATATTCAATGAATTCTATGTCTAAAATATGCCAACCTATATTGGGTTTTTATTTTTTCTCCTGTGAAAGGTAAATTTTATCACCCAAGTAAATTTTATTACCTCAACAGAATAGGTAATTCGTTCTCAGTTGTCATGCGAATTACGAACATATTGATGCCTTCTTTAAATCTCATCGAAAAACAAAAGAAAGAATAATTATAAGAGAAGACGCTAACACACAAGCCTTGATTTGAAGCCAAGGACTATTTGCATATTAACGAAGAAAAATATTAGAAATCATTAAAGGAACTTGCTTTATATAACTAATTCAATTCAAGACTTTGTTAACTTCTACTAGGAAAGATTTTTATTTTGCATACGTTTTCAATAGGCATTAACAAGCGAAACCGAAAATCGTCAAACTGTGTATACTGTGAATATGGGTAATTCGTATTCGTAATTGAGAGGGCTAAACACGTCGTGGCTGTCGTGGAAATGCCGTATACGACATCACTTTGTTCGCATCCACTTCTATTAGGCTTAGCCTGCACCATGGTTTATATAATGAAAGCTAACGATAAGAGTGATAAAAAAAGTTTATTTTAATTTTTTTATTTGTCTTAACACCAGAACTTGTATTTTGTTTTCCGGTGAACTGGTTAATATGTTTCATAAAACTTTGGCAGCACTTGTCTATGTCAAATTGCATTTGCAAGTTACATACTGTTACGATTTTACTAAATCAACCTCGATTATTTTCTAAATCCTTCGGGTACGATCTCTGGATTGTTAAATAAAAACTCGCCAGCTTTATTTGCAGTTTCTTTGGTTTTTTTAAGAATTAATCTAATGTCCTTTATTTTCTCAAGAATTCACAATTCAATTATAATGCACTTTACTATTTACAATCACTAACATCAACTTTCACAATCTACTTTACTTAAATGTAATCTCCAACGCGTTCACTTACGACTTCACTGATGTTAACGCCAACCAGTTCGCTTTGTCACTCACTTGACTTGCAGCTGAGTGTCGCCTTTATATAGCAGTCGGCTGCTCGCAGACGAAAGCGTAAAAGCATCGAATTGTTCGCTATCGAAGGTTCTTGCTTTATCGTTTCTAGAATGTACTAGTTATCGGCTTCTCTCTTTCATCCGACATTCGCCTCGCATTTTCGCAACAATACCAATGACAACAATATATATGAGTTTGGGTGAGTTCCAAAACAGCAGCTGGGTCGCTTCAAATCCTCCTTATCAGGGCTGGCTGAAACCAGCCCTGGTCCGGCGGAGTACTTTTAATGCATGCGCTAGAAAAGACTCCACCACTGTTGTTGTTGTAGCGGTTCTCTAACCCCGCTTAAGTTCAGGTTTAATTAATCGAAATCGCCCACGTCATCTGATGGAAGGTAAAGGCGACCAACAGTTTCGACGGGGTTGAACTAAAGGGAGAGGTGGTTAGATGAGTCGGTTAAAAGGGGCATGTGAAGAGGTGGTTAGTGTCGTGCGGATACGCTCCACATGCAGGGCATACCCGGGGTCGAGTTTGGGTAAGTAGAAGTGTAACCTGCTACAATATCCAGATCTTTATTGGTGCTCCCTGCGGTAACACCCCAATAGGAACTGCTTGCACAGCAAAGCATTATTTTCCTTAATCGTAGCATCGATACTTCACTATGCATGTGATAATTTGGCGAAATCAGGAGGTTTCCTGTCGCAGTCCTGAGGGCGGAGTTCTGGCTAGCCTTTAGCTTTTTCATCTGCGTCTTGTTTGCCCCCGGCGCCAGGATCAATGCAGCTGAATTTACGACCGACCAATTGCTTTATAAGTTGCTAGCAAAGTTTCCTTCCAGGTGCTGCCGGCGAGCTCTTTGAGTATTTTGCTGCAGCTGTGGAGTTTTGCGGTCGTAAGCAGGGTGAAAGAGCGCAGGCTGTTTAGTGTCACTCCTAATATCTTTGGGACATTTACCGTCGGAGTTTTCAGGCATCGACCTTCACATCTAGTCCAAGCCTGTCTTAATTCGTTCAGCTGGTAAAGAGGATACCCGAGGACTTAGTTTGCTTTATTTGTTAAATTGTTGTGCAGGGAAGCAGTGAGAAAGATGAGCAAGGTAGCAGTTCACTTTCGAAAAGAGGTCATCAATATCCCGGCCAGACGTCATATTTCTACAATCATCGGCATACGAAGTTAGGGAAACTAATAGTAGCGGGGAACCTGCGGAACCCCCTGCTTAAATTTTCTAAGCTGCGAGATTTCGCCTCGGAATATTACCGTTGATTGACTATCTGGGTGCTTATGGCGTTTAGTGCTGTTGTGGTGGTGGGCACTTTGTCTTCGCTACTGAGTTATCGGCCGATAGGACTCTCCTTTGTTGGATGGTTTCCCCGGTTTGAGTAACGGTACCACCCTGCCCATTTTCCACACATCGGGTATCTTTAAGGTGGTCAAAGACAAGTTGAGGACCTTAGTGAGAAAGTTTGTTTCAGCTGGTCCGAGATGTTTTAGCGGCAGCATGCTAAGTCCGTCTTAGCTGATGAATGTGGAGGCTTTCGCCTTCCCGATGACCTTCTGAACCTCTTTCCTGGTGAAATCAAGCGTCGCGTTGGTACTTGGGTCGTCGATACGTTTAGTCTACCGAAGGATGCAGTGTACAAAGTCGGCTGAAATAGCTTGCGCATCATCTGCATGAAATTTTCACGCGGTCATCGCGTGTCGTCGGGTTAAACAACGTTTTGACTGTAGCCCAGAGCTTCTAGTTGTTGACTACTCTGCGATACTCCGAGGTTAAATCCCTGAATAGGGGATTTCCGGGATAGGAGTTTCGAAGGATGTCGCGCATCGATGCTTATACCACCGCTAATGTCGGGCAATTCGGGCGGATTTCCATAATTTAGCCCGCGCGCATCTGTATCACGGCTGTATCCAACTGGGCGACTTATAACAGGAGGAATGTATTTATTAAATATTTCGAGCTGCTGTAATGCCCGCTGACGTTGATGCCGCACATTGGTGTTGGTTGGCGGTATGTTTGTTGAAAAATGCGGGGGCAGACTCCTACAGCACGGGGCAACCTACGCATCGCTCCACTCACGGGTGGTTTGCAGGCCAGACCACGTCCGAAAATGACATTAGCCAGAGCAACCATTTGTTGGAGGCATCACAGCACTCTTGTACCAATCTAGAGCCACCGAAATTAAGAAATCACCATAAAAACGTTTAAATGATACCAACTCTTTTTTAGATGTTATTGTAGTAACGCAGTTCATGTTTATAGATATGTGTGTACTCAAAAGTGCGGTACAATTTCTTTCCTCTGCAGTAGTTTTGAAAGTGAAAACAATAAAATTTTTTCATTTTTAAGCTCTGTAATCCATTGCATCTCATTTAATAAAAATAAATCCTATGACGACCTATTTTCATACCTCTGTGTGCTTTTCACATATTTAGACCTTTCGTTAAACCGTTTATCGCTAAAACTGAGTTAAAGAATCGCAAAACCGCGACAAATTTGCGAGATTGCGATCAGACAAATCGTGTCGGAAATGTGACTGAATCGCACCACAGCATAAATGAAATAAACTCTTAACATTTGAAGTATGTTTTTAGTCCTTGTTAATTAATATCGTTGAAATAACTGGAGTCAGGTCACGAGTGTGTTCGGTGAGGTGCCGGGCAGCACGATTTAGACATTGAATTGGAGGTGAATTAACGAAATCCAGCTGTGGAAATTTCAGTAAGAAAAGTAAGCATAAAAAATAACTGATTTGCATTTTTATCAAAAAATAAAAATAAAAAATAAAAATAAATAAATAAAAAAAAATAAAATATATTGCGATGAGTGCCAGGCTTTAAAAAAAAATTTCCCTTGGGGGTGTTAGAAGAGGTCATACACATCACAAAAATTTATGTTCTTCACCGAGGTAACTTATTGTTATCGAGATATTTGTTGTTAAAGCTGATTATTTCACTAACCGAAGTTCCATCCACATCCTGCAACGCGCAACAGTCGAACACGTCTGAAAAAAGGTTAACATAACACCAGTTATGCCAATGAAGTTCCGATCTTATTCTTCTTGGGACGCCTCTTCGGTTCATAAAGCACTGTTACATACGTAAATAAAGCTACCCATCGCATCTCAATTCTTCGGCCGGCAATCACATTCACCGGGCTAAAATAGTCCAATCCAGTGCTTGTCCCATCATCGGGACGACTGGCTTTGCTTTCTTTAATTTGCATGCATTGCAAT